TTTATTATCGCTCACAAGCGGATTTCAAGATATTTTTACAGGGATTCGGCGACACCTACCAGAACTCGAAAAATAACGCGAAAATCTTTCGACTGATGTCAAATTTGAAAATGAAGCAATCAAGTCTCAAGACGCATGTTATCAGAAAATATGTTAATTTACCTTTAGATCTCTCTCTTGGCCAGAAAAAATATGTGGCTGGAAACAGGACGAGGGCTATGAATGAAGCAAAAAATAATAAAACGTTCCACCCTCCTCGTCATATTCAAACTGCATTCCAGCCATTTTTTATAGATAATCTTTAAGTGATACCGACATTAAACTAACAAGACGTGTCATTTTACTAAATTAAAACGACATAGAAATATAAACAAAACGACCCCAGCCAAAATGAAAAACGAAAATGCATAGACATAAAAAAGTTGGCTGTTGCTGTGAAGTGTGAGAATATCATATATCACATTGCCACATATTAGTGCGTATTCTATATACACTGGTGTTGCGTATAAAAAAATTATATTTTTTTTCCAAATTTTTATTGGCATCAAAAACAATCAAGAATTTATAATGAAAACTTGTGCTGATTACCTTAACTGAGGTGCGAGATGTTTAATAATTGTCGAATTAAGCAATAAATCAAAATGTTATATTTAATAGAAATAAAATATCATAATCAATAGAAACAAAAACTGTCTAATAATAAAAGTTTGAGCTTATATCAGACCTATTAAAAAAAAAAGCAAGTGCGTAAAAAATATTTTTGAAGTACCTGTAATTTGTTTATTAGGTATTTAAAGGTTGATCCTCAGAATACGTTAAGAACTGACTTGAGCCATCTGAACATAGGTAAGTTAAAGACTGAGTTAAACCAATTGAATACAAATAAGTTAGGGACTGAGCTGAGCCATTTGAATATAGATAAGTTAAGGACTGAGTTGAGCCAATTGTATATTAGGTAAGTAAGCAACTGAGCTGAATTAATTGATTGTAAAGTATCAACCAGTAACTTTTTGAACATGATAGTATCATTAAATGAAATATTTTAAGTTACTTTTATTTTTATTAAATTTTCAATTTAATTTCATTGCGATATCGATGATGATGATTGTGACCTGACTGATTAAAAACATCAAAAAAATTTTTAAAATAGGATGGAGAATTTGTTACGAAATCGTTGGAGGAAATGAAATATTTTTTAAACTCACTCGCGTTATTTCTTTGATATCGATATTGAGGATATTCGTATATAAAGCGGGCAAAATTTTAATATAAAAGCGCTTATAAATCTACGCATACTGGCTCAGCTTGGCTCGGCTTGGCTTAGCTTGGCTCGGCTTGGAATTGGATGTTAAGCAAGGTGTGGTCTCAAATTATTTTGATTTCTCCTCAAAAATTTGTACTGTAAAGTATCTAGGATTCATGTATACAAATAATTAGTAAGATTATATGTTTATATAAAGAGCAATATATCAGATTCAACCAACTAATCAGAAAGTTTCGAAGGCGTTCGTTCGATGATGTCAATAGTACGGGCGGTTAGCGTTGTTGTTAAGACTGTACAATAGTGTAGTACATACATTAAATAAATTTTTTACTGATGTGAATGATTGAAATGATGAAAATGTATGGTTGAACCGAGTATAAAAAGGAGCCAAGACAGCATGAAAATCAGATCAGTCATTCTGCCTCGCTTGAAGCAGTCTGCCCGATCTCATTTATTTTATTTTTATGATTTATTTATTTTATTATATAGAGTTATATAGAGTTATAGAGAGTTTGTATGTTGCCTGTGGTTTGTGTGTTTGTATGTTATATTTTTTTTAGGTGGGTTCTTTAGCGGTTGCTCATACATACATCATGTTTGTTTGTGTGGTAGTATTTTTGTTCTGTTTTACTCTTTTATCTCTTTCTTCATGAGTCTTCAGTTAAGTTAATTAAACATAGGTAGGTGAGATTGAGATTAATTTATCATATAGGTAGGCTAGGGCATAAGGTAATTTAGTTACATAGGTAGGTTAGGGACTTCTTTTCTTTTACTCTACTTGGTGGTGTGTTTTTCGTTTTGTGTTTTTTTTTGTCTTGTTATACACCATACATTCAACAGGTACGCGGTGGTTCCTGGTTTTAGTGGAATTTTTATTGATTGAATGTGGTAGTATGCATGGTTATATAGAGTTATATAGAGTTATATAGAGTTATATAGAGTTATATAGAGTTATATAGAGTTATATAGAGTTATATAGAGTTATATAGAGTTATATAGAGTTATATAGAGTTATATAGAGTTATATAGAGTTATATAGAGTTATATAGAGTTATATAGAGTTATATAGAGTTATATAGAGTTATATAGAGTTATATAGAGTTATATAGAGTTATATAGAGTTATATAGAGTTATATAGAGTTATATAGAGTTATATAGAGTTATATAGAGTTATATAGAGTTATATAGAGTTATATAGAGTTATATAGAGTTAAGGGCAATAATGTAATTCTAGGAACAATCTTGTAATGTAAATTAAAACGCTGTAAGTGTATCGATAGGTAGGTTAATTATAAGTTTTACATTATTATTATTATGTTGGAGCCCAAGGCATTACGTAGGTGGTGGGGTGGGTGCCGAAAGGCCAATGAATTGGGCTCTTGAGTTTTGTAATTTTAGGTAAGCTAGGGTTTAACTGTAATGAATAGGTAAGTTGAGGGTACGATAGCCGATAGACTCTGAATTTCAAAGTCTCTTGTCAGAGGTAAGCCTTGGTGGCCAGTGGTGAACCGGCAATGGTTTACTATCCGGACGGCAATGGTTTACTATCTGCACGGTTATGATTTACTATGCGGCATGGCCATAGTCTACTACCCGCACGGCTTCCGGACGGCAAATGGTTTACTATCCGCACGGCAATAGTCTACTATCCGCACGGCAATGGTTTACTATCCGGTGCCCTGGCTGTTGGTGAGCCTCTGTGCAAGGAGGGAGAATGAAGGGGGCCTTTCGACTATCGTACCATTAACAATTTAATATTAATTAGTTAAGGTAATTGAATAGGTAGATAGGATTATTTTTATTAAGCAATTTGAGATGCAAGCACCGCTAAGCTTTCTGATGAGAATATTCTCTTTATCTTTCTCCATTCCACGGGCTGAGTTTCAACAACAATCTCGAGGAGGACTGGCACCAGTTTTGGAGGACAACGTAGGAACCGGAAGGCATTCATCATTCTGCCTTTGTCGAATGGACGACGGTAAGTTTTTTTACATTTTACTCTCTTTATTATTTTAAGATATTATTTATTTGCCATCATTTTTTCTTTATACTTTTTTGCTTCTAAAATTCTAACATTCATTTACTACTACGCAAATAAAAAAATTTTGTTTACAGAATGATGAGAGGTGGGCAGTGGTGGGAGTCAGCACGTTTTAGTTGGTGGTCTCATGATGATTTACATATGATGATGGTGGTGTAGGAAGAATCAGCTCGTTGGCTGTTCGACTGACACTCTGAAGTTCGGATGGTATGTGTGCCGACCAGATGGTGGTGGTCGGTGCAATAGAAAGTACAGTAACGACGATTTTTGAAGTAAGGTTTAGTTTCGTTTTTTATTTTTCTCATTCATTCATTTTATCACTCAACCTTTTAAATTATTCTTCTATTAATTGATTTGTTAATTCATTCTATTAATTGAATCATTGATTTATTAATTCATTCATTCACTCATTCATTCAACCAATTATTCAATCATTCAGTTAATCATTTATTCGATCGTTCCTTTGTTCCTTGATTTACTAATACGCTATTAAAAAATGTCTACAGAATGATGAGAGGTGGGCATCAGCACGTTTCAGATGGAGGTCTCATGATGGTCGTTCCGATGACAATTCGAAGATAACAACGACGGTTTTTGAAGTATGATATAGTTTCTTTTTTTTATTTTTCTCATTCATTAATTCATTTTATCACTATCTTTCAAATTATTCCTTGTTGAATTTCTTGTCACGTAGATCGTTTAATTAATTGATATAATATTGAAAGACATTAAAAGAAGAGAAATAAACTAAGCAACGTTCTCGAATTGTTTATTATCCACCGGATTAACAGAAAAGGAAAAAAGTGAAGTTACATACAAAGCAAAGAATATTTGGTCCAAAGAAAAATAAATGTATTTTATAAATCATAATGTTTTAATATAAAACATAAAACTTAACATTCCTCAGTTAATTTATTCATTGATTCATTCTATTCATTCATTAAATCATTGGTTGATTGTTTAATTAGTTAATTTATTCATTCAACCAATCGTTCAATCATTCAGTTTATCATTTATTCGTTCGTTCCTTTGTTTCTTGATTTACTATTTCGCTAATTAATAAAAACTTGTCTACCAAATGATGAGAGGTGGGCTGTGGTGGGCGTCAGCACTTTTCAGATGGTGGTCTCATGATGATCGTTCCGATGACAAATCGAAGATAATGTTAAAGATAAATTTGTTTTTGTCTCACTGTACCTTTGAAAGTACTAGAATTTGAACAAAGATTATCTCAAAAAGATAAGTTGCCTATTTTTTTCAATTGCTTGTTTTTTATTTTAGTGAATTAATTTTTTTTTTTCAATTTATTTTTCAGTATCCGGTCAAATTCATTCCATCGATGCGTGCCAGATGATGGTCGGTGCAATGGAGGTTCGTCGGTAGTGAGCGAAGTTTCTGGAGAGTGCGCGCCCGCACATTTACATACACACACATCAATACAACACATACATACACAACATCCATTCATTCGGTGTCGTTGTTGCTATGTTTCTCTTCAACTTTATATTTTCTTTACTGTGAACCGGGCTTTAATTTAATTCATAGGTAAGTTAGGGACTGAGATGAGTTAAACAATTGTAGGCTAGGGCTTAACATTAGTTAAAAAGCTTCAAGTAAAATAAAAACGCTAAAATATGTTAAATAAAATACTTGAAACATTTAAAACGAGAAATACAAATTTGTAGGTGAGTTGAGTCATTGTTTATAAGTAAGCTAGGGCCCTGAGAGTAATTTTATTATAGGTAGTGACTGACTATTATTCTTGCGACTTCTTACTAGTTTTGTGTGATGTGTTTGTTTTCGTTTCACAACACCACACCAACAAAACAAACTACATTTCATTCTCGTCGTCGCCTTAAATTGTACCTTTTTGAACCATCTTTTTAATAATGTCTATTTATTTATTCATTAAATGTTGACTAGTTTCTAGTTTTTTTTTAAATTGGTTATATAATTTTTGGATATTTCTTGATTTACTTTGTATATATGCATGTATAAATTATTTCTGTTTAGTATGTTGATTTAGTCATTATGATATGTTATGAACTGTTCTTACTAAATGTTCATGTTACGTGGTTTATTATCCTTCGAGAAATTCTAAGGAGTGTGTATGATAATAATAATAATGGATAATAATTATTTTTATCGGTCGATATTTTGTTATATTTGTTTATTTAAAATACGAATTTAAAAAAAATTGACATTTTAAAATTTAATTAACCGTCACTTTTCATTTTTGAATGAATTCAAATAAAAGCAACTACTGTGTTTTTCTTTACTAAAATCTCGAAATTGTTTGTAGATCTGTACGGTTAACTGGTTGTTCGAGTTGGAACAGGCCTTGCAAATTTTTTTTATTTATTTTTGTTTTTATTTTTGTTTATTTGGTTCATTCAATTTAGTTGATTGATTGGTCGGTTGATTCATCGGTTGGTTGATTGATTGACTGACAGACTGGCTGACCGACTGACTGACTGATTGTTTGATTGATTTATCTCATAGTATTGTATACATGAGAAAAAATCCGATTAAGCCAACCTACGGCTTCAGTAAGCCACTGTTTTTCACCTGTCAAAAGCAATTTCTATATTTATACTGACAAAAATAATTGTGATATGAATATATTAATTTATTTAAAGCATTATATGTACAAAAAAGTGCTATCGTAAGAGTTCTATGAAACCCTGTAAGCCACTGCTGTAAGCCAACGTATTATTTCAGCAGCCAGTTTCTTATGAGCACCAGCAGAATGTAAAATATTCATTGAATATAATGAAGATAGTTGTTCAAATAACAATTTTGATTTATTTAGGCCATTTATTTCATAAGCAAACCAATTTTTAACATGATTCTATTAATCATTATTAAAATTACTACAATGTTTTTAAGCATATTAAATCAAGTAAATATTTCATTTAGCTTGCTCCTTAAAATCCGTGCAATTTCGTAAGCCAACAATCCAAGCACGACAAATAGCCCGATCGATAGATCGAATTGATCGATTAGTCCTATTATTCTAGTTATATAGTTTGGAGCAAGAGGAGACATTACTGAAAATAATTAAAAGTTGAAAAAATTGAGGTTCTTTGCATATCCCTGCTTCAACCCATAAGAAGGTGTTGTATGCTGGTAAATAGGCCTCCCCTTGTTACAACATGCAAGAAAACAATGTTTTATAAAATAAACAGATTAAAATGGGCTACATGTAATAAAAAATGCAAAGGGGTATCCAACAATATATGGTAATCGCAAAACGTTGGTAGGCTTACATCCATTTACAATTTTGATATTTAAATATATTTGTTTTTACAATATTTTATAAATTCTACCAAATGTTTGGCGTTACAATATTGTAAAAATTATGGTCTATTACAAACAAATATTTATATAAATATGTTTACAACCATTTACAACCGTTTACAATTTTAATGTATATAAATATGTACAATATTTTATTTTTGAGTTTACGATCAGTGTTATCAGATGGATTTATTCATGTTTATGACGTATATATAGAAGTAAATCAAGTGCACATCCAGAACCGTATTATAACAACAATTTACAATTTTAATGTATATAAATACGTACATATATTTTATCTTTGGGTTTACGATCAGTGTTATCAGATCCATGTTTATGACGTATATATAGAAGTAAATCAAGTTCACATCAGAATCGTATTATAACAACAATACCTTATCTATGGAGCTAACTTTATAAACGTTACGCCTAAAAAGATTGCAACTAAACTTTGCGATCGAACATTTTTATAGTTTTCATCAATTTGTGGTTTGGAAAACTGATTTAGGAATAATTTTGAATTAATTAATATGGTCTCTCGTTTATTATTACTTGCAGGAATTTTTTACGGGAAATCCCTTGCGATCGTTTCTTAGTTTTGGCATTTTGGAGTTTAGGATTTTAAATTTTTAATTTAAAAGGATTAGTATTTTTTACTTCGTCCTTTTAAGTTTTAAACGACTTGTTGATATCTAAATTATTTATCAATAATATCGTCAGAGGTCATCTTTCCAATTTTGGATCGAATTCAGAGTCTTAAGTTTTAAAAATTGGATCTTATTATAAGTTCTCAGTTCTCAGTTCTAAGTTGTAATGAAGAAAAGATAATACAACTGTTCTTTATTCAACTTCCAAGTCAGTCAATAAAAATAAAATTATGGATCCTAGAATGGGAAAAGCAAATTATGGAGAAAGCTATCGAAAACTACTTCGACCTGACACCATTGAAATTGATAGTTCGACTCAACCAAATTTTCATAAACATGGTAGGTTAAATAGTTCGCAATATTCAACCTTTGATCAACAAAACTCAACAGTAGATAGACTCGGAAAAAATGTTTCCACCAACAACACTATTCTAAATGAGACTCACCAATTAAAGGAAAAGCCATTGAGGAATTATAGATTAGTGGTGGATCCTAACTTGGTACCTAATTCTAAAAAGGTCTATAGCTATGATGGTGTCATTGCAGGGGTAAGAATAAATTTTTTAAATCAATTGTTTGTTTCCTATTAAACAATTATTAATTAATTTATTAATAGGATTTTTAAACTTTTATTATTTCTATTGTTTTTAATAATTTTTTTTTAAAATTAGACTCTATCTGTAGAAATTATTTACAATTATCATGTGTTTTTACATGTTCAGGTCTCAGAACCCATCATATTACGAGATCCCAGATCTAGAATACAAAGATTCAAGAAAGATGCTATTGATCTCGTATTGCCAAAATTTAAGGTATGTTTTTGTTTACAAATTAAACATTGTATTTATTTAAAATGAAATTTTATAAATCTTTAAGTTTTACATTTTTTATTGGTTTTGTTAATGAGTAAAAAAGTTATTTGATTTGTCATTTAAACTGGTCTAAATTAAATAAGACCAGTTCAAAACTTTGAATTAAATTGAAATGAGACTGCAGATATGGGCAATAATTAGTTTTACTAACAGTTTGATTATGTCATTTTAATTGTAAAAATCCTCCTGTCAAAAAACTAGTATGACGACAACTCATTTGGAACGATCCTACCTAAAGAGGTTTCCTTCTTCAACTTGAATAATAATGTAGATGTGCCCTTTCTTACGGATATATGCAAGTTTGCTGGCTCCATTGAAGATGTCAAAATATATCTCCACCCAACCACTAAGAAGCATCTTGGCATTGGATCTGTTAGCAACTTTTTGATATTTCATATTATTTGTTTTAAATCTGCCACCATAGATTAAATTTTTGAGTTAGCTGAAAAGTGTGTCACACACACACACAACCTCTTTATAGCAGTGTAAATGACAATGGGACATCAATTTCCCTTTAAAATTTCACATTATATGAATCGGAAATTCAAATAAAATTTATTTTCACTGTAACTCAAATAATTTTTTTAAATTTCAAGGTATTATATACATCAACAAAAGCTGCAAAGGTATGTGTGGACAAGTTGAACAACTCAACTTCAATGGGCAACATAATGAATGTCATCATCGACATCAGAGGTTTGCTTTTTGCCTATTCGTATCTCACTTTTTTGATTCCCATGGAATTAAAAAGATTTAGATTATATTAATAACATGATTATATTCATGGTATCAACTGTTGTAAAATATATAAAATGGGTTGAAGTTATTTGAGGCTATTAGGAATTAGGTGTGTTGTGGGTTTGTTTGTGTACAGATCACAATATATTATTCTTAAAAGTACAATGTGCATTTTTATGTTGAGTTTATTCAGTATATAGTTACCACGTCTAAGTTCTGATATTTTAGTTGCATGTAGAAAAACAATATGCCCTGGTTATGACATTAAACTGACCCTCACTGCCTTGTGAGTGATGTTGGATCATCAAAGGCTAGGCCCACCGCTTATAACTGTGGTTGCGCAAGGAAGGGAAAATGTCAGGGAAAATGTCGTCTAAACGTGTGTCGTTGTTGTATATAGAAAAATAATAATGATAATTGCGTTAATTTTTTTATTAGGTTATTTAATTGTTTCAAAATTTTTATCAAGACAATAAATTATTTTCACTTATAGGAGTAAAGAGAGAAAAAGTAATAGAAGAATTGACTCAGAAAGTAGCGGTGGCACCTGCTGTTTCACGCAATTTGATTGGTCCCAACGTTGCTCCATCTTCAACATCCTCATCATCTGCATCTTCCTCTGCATATTTGCCACATTCCTCCTCATCTGCTATATTAACTCCGACTGTCCAATGCGATTACAACGTTAAGATGGATTATTCCATGTTCAAGTCTCCATCACCCAACAAATTAACAAGAAATTTCAGTAGTGGAAACCTGACAGGTCAAAATGTTCATCATCAACAGAATGTGGCAGCCACAAATTGCAATGGTCTTCAATCCAGTGACAGTTACAGCAATCGTCAAAATGAATCCTTGCTATCGAATGGTGGGGGAATTATTCCAACACCCCCTTATTCAGATGTGGGATACTTCTCTTCCAGACATTCAGATGTTTCAGAACATCCTAACTCATCAGGCGGAGATTCCGTGGGTTCTGCTAACAGCTGCAACCTGGCTCCCACTAAAACCAACACTAGTTCATCAAATCTCACTGATTCTAGAGAGAATTCCAAAAAGAGCGATATCGTTAAGGAAAATGTTAAACATTCAACTTGCAAAGTCAGTAAACTCCACAAAGCAAATAGTGATCTGAATTATTTCTCCAATGATGACAATTCAAAGTCACCATTTGACCTCTTACAGCTGAATAGTTCAAGAAGCAGACATGAACCTAAAACAAAAAGCGATAACAACAAAGAATTGATCATAATAAAAGACAGCAGGCATCATCATCGTTCTCGTCACCATCATAAAGAATCTCCCGCATATAGTGATAGTTCCCGAAAGTCATCTGACGTGTACGGCCTCCATCAGTCTCATCGTCACCGTCATCAGAACACATCTCCTAATGTTGTCCATGAAGCAAAATCTTTTTCCAAGCACAGAAGCTCTGACAACACGAGTGAATATTATAAAAAATCTGATTATTTCAGTGATTACCACAGAAGAAATGATTACACTATAGACGGTCACAAAAGAAGTCATCTCGATTCACACAAATATGCCCACCAATCTAGAAACAATGATTACAGCAAAGAGAAAGATAAAGTTCACAATAGATATAGAGAACACCACAAGTCAAAAAAGCATGACAGTTTAGATCTAGCATCATCGTCCTCATCATCTCATCATAGGAAGCATGATAGGTCATCCAAAGATCGGTCAGACTATTATCGTTATGGAAAAGAATCTGAGTATTATGAAAAGAAAAGTTCAAAAACATCATCATCCTCATCATATCATCACAGTGATAAAACAAGTATCATAATAATTGATGATGAAGATGAAGAAGTCACCGTTGGTCATACTCATCATTCAAATTCAAGTAGGAGCAAGATGAGCAGTGACTCCAAAACAACAAAGGCAGATGACCAGCATAAAAGGCCTCATGATGTCCCTAAAATGGATATTTCAATGTCAGAAAATGACACGGGCAAAGATTTCGTAGACGACAAAAGCAAGAAAGATGACGATAAGCTTGATCATGATGATCTGCTCACTCAACCGATGAGTCTGGAATCAAGAATACAAGCAATACTCGATCAAGAAACTTCTAAATCCAACGTACCAATGTTTTCAAACCCTGCTTTAGAAGTCGTTGCCGACAAAAATTTGAAGAACTCAGATAGAAACAAACTGAACAGCCTTGCTAATGATATGAACGTGGTGGTGAATGCAGATGAAGAGGATGAGATCAACACAAACAACAGTGGAGATGATGATGATCGCATGAGTATGTCATCTGTCGACGAAGATCGAACGATGGATGTCATCGAGGTGAACATACCTGTGAAAGAAGCAACGGCAGCCTGCAAATCGAAATCTCCACTCCTCACTAGGTGGCCAGTGCCACCGCCTTCTCTCATGCCATATTATCCTTATCCTCTCAACCCTCTTCATCATCATCCTCCCCCTCCACCTCCTCCTTTCCATCCACATCTCACTTTGCCAATAGTTAACATGTACCCTCATGTTCTTTTCCATCCAAACAATTTTAGAAATCACTTCAACACTGGCAACGACATCAAGCATGAGTTTGTTAATGCCTACTCGAAGTTACCTGAAAAAGAAGAATCTCGAAAATTCCGAAAAGTTCTTGAGGCCATTGTAGCCGAATTGCAGCAAGTGCTTGCTAAGGATTTAAGAAGGAAAATGGTTGAAAACTCAGGTTTTAAAGTTTTTGATGAGTGGTGGACAGACAATTTTTCATGTGAAAAGGTTAGTTATCATGCCTACAACTAGACAAATTCTAGAAATTTCAATTATTTCATTATTTTGTCTTAATATTTTAAAATTTTACACGATCATTATGTTTTCAAGTAAACTAAATATAACTAAATTAATTTATCAGAAGTTGGGAAGTAGCATTGCCGCCACGTTAACAACATCGACAACATCAGTAACAACATCATCAACGTCAACAACAACAACAACAAAAGCACTACCTTCCATAAGCACGTGTACATCTTCTTTGGACTATTTGTTTGAGAATTGTGAATCCAATGACCGAGCTATGTTTGAAAGAGGTGGGCTGCTTGGTCTTAAGGGAGCCTTCCCAAAGTTGCCCTCATTCAGAGTTTGTACATTTCGTCCATACTTCACTACTCTTTCTAATACAATACATTTATTGATTATTTCACTTAAATATATAAATTAATAAATATAATAAAATACAAATAAATGAAGTGACACTGAATTTTTTTTAAAGAAAAAGTTTGTACTTCCCCCTCCGCCTGCACCTACTGTAGAAGCAGAGGAAGATGACGATAACGACGATGTCATTAAAGAGTCCCAAGGTAAATGGATATTTACAGTCATGTGAATATATTCTACTTTGTTATCAGATTTTTTAATTATGTGTTGTGTTTCTTTATCATCCATCTTCCTCAAGTTACTATGATTTCTGTTTATGATGACGTCAAATTTATCGTGCCATCTGTTTATTTATTAATTATCAACCTGTTTGTAAAGGTAAAAGTACAATTTTGTTACATTATAATATTTGCATGATTATTTTCGTATGTGCATTATTTATTTCATTCAATGCTTCTACTAAATCCAGGAACAAGTGAGGTAGAAGGTACGAGCGATAACGATAACGATGACAATGATGATGAGGAAGATAATGAAGATGAGGAAGAGGAGAGAGATGATGATGATGATGACCAGGAAGAGGAGGATGAAGTCAGGTTTCAAGCTTCTTCAGATGAGGAACATGGGGATGAAGATGATGACGAGGAGGAAGAAAATAATAATGAAACCAATGAAGTTGATGATGATGATGAAATTTCAGGTCATCCAAAATGTAACAGAAAAAGAACTAGAGCTATTTATGATAGCAGCGATAACGAGGATAGTCATGATAATGATTACAAAGGGACTGCTGGCGAAGATGATGATGGTTCTGTATCAGGGGGTACTATGATGGCCAGTGAAGATGGTGAGATGGGTAGTCCTAGGTCCCAACAAATAGATGATGATAATGAAGGGAATGATGATAGTGGTGCTAATAATTCTGAAAGTGGCAAACATAAAAAAGTGAAGTACGATGTTTCACTCAGAACCTTTTCTGATGATGATAGATGCAATGATGACGACATCATTTGTAAGAATGACTTGAAAGCTGTGGACAATGATGATAGGAACTCTATGAACTGGTCTGACAATCAGATGGCTGCTGATAAACAGTCCAACAGAAAGAAAAGGTAACTAATATTTCTATTTGTCATATTTATTTTATATTGTTGCATTGAAACCATCATAATCAAAACACAATGCGTGCATCAATATATGATAAATATACATATTTTATAAATAGGTACAGAGTGGATGAAGACTTTGCAGATACTGGGTGTGATAGCAAAAAGATGAAGCTATCAACGACATTTGTGCCTTTGACATCTTTGACGTTACCGACATCATCGCAATCAGCAGCAGTGACATTACATACATCGTCGTCTTTGACTTCAGAAACATCACAATTTTCATCTTCACCGTTACCAGCATCTTCACCTTCATGTCGTTTGTTCTTCCCTAGTGAAAATGCAACAAAGCCATGCAGACCCACAAACTTCCAAGCCTCACAAGTTTGTTACACTTTTCTTACTCTACGGAAATGTTTTTGAAAACTTAACTCATTAGATGTAATCTTTTTATTCGACCTGTCTTTCTTACCTCTTACATGTATCACATTTTATAACACAATTCAATTCCTTAATCTCCACCTTTATTTTTTAAATTTTATATATAAAAAGATTTTTGTTCGAAATTGTGATCCACGAAAGCTTTTATAAGAATATAATTTTCATAACCATTCTTGCAGAATTACGATGAAAGTTCTGGATACACACCTGTACACTCCCAACATGGTCTGTCTGACGTCACCAACAGATTGACAACAACATTCAATAAACAACAACAACTTCAGCAACTACATCAATATTTGCCACTCAACTCGTCAAGAGAACTAAAACGTCTCCACTGCTCTCTCACCCCATCCTTCTTGTCTTCATACATCACTCCAAAACCAGCGCAGAAGATAAAATTTTTTCCTCGTGATTATGAACTGGAGACTGATATATTGGGGTCATTTTTAAGGATTGGTATCGATGTGGAGGACATTGAATATCTAATGAAAAGCTATGATGAATTGTTGCAAACTGACTACCCTCAAACGTATTGGCTCAATGATACTCATTGGTTTGAACATCCTTCAACATATGAACATCCAATTGTTACACTCACCTCAACAACTTCCACAAGGAAACAATTATCTAAGAAAAAGAGGAAAGATATTGTTGTTGATGTCTTGGAGTCAAAACATAAGACAGGTATGTTGAGCCTTAGATTAAATATTTTTGTTTCAATATTTAATATAAAGTTTCTAAACATGTTCTGTCTTTTCATTTGTTCAATAATTTATTATCTGTAAACAGGGTCGGCAAGAACAGAAGGATACTATAAAATCAGTCACCATGAGAAATCAGGTTACTTGCAGCACGCACGAGGTGTCCAGGAGCACAAGCTGACGGCCAGTCAACCAGCCGAATTAGAGCAATGTTTGTTTGGCGGTGCAAACGTCACTGGTGCTGCTGGTGATTTGAAGAAAAAAATTCAGCAACAGCTGAGGGAAGCAAGATCTGAAAGCAGGAGATGGCAGAGTGTGCTATCTCACCAGGGCGAAGATCTGGGTGACCTTGTCAAATTCAACCACCTCAAGGTTTTTGTCATTTTATTATTTTGCATTCAAATTTTTGTTCTCTTCTTTATAATTACTCACAGTAGCAGACAATTTTACATTCAAAATATTTTACAATCTAAAACTTTGTCAAAAATTGCACAAAAAATATTTACACATTATTTTTCAATTAGACATTTTGCCCTCTGATCTATATTCGTTATAAATCTCTATTGGCAAAAAGTTCAGTTAATTTATATCAATGAGGGTTTTATCTATGTCTGAATTCATACATTTTTGTAAATATTATTATTAAGGTCATACATAGCTATAATTTTTTATTCATCCTTAAAAACAGTTCCGCAAGAAGCAGTTGAAATTTGCTAAAAGTGGCATTCACGATTGGGGTTTGTTTGCTTTGGAGCGCATTCAAGAAGGAGAGATGGTCATCGAATATGTTGGCCAGGTCATCAGGCAGCCCATTGCTGATCTCAGAGAAAAGAGGTAAATTCATTTTTATTAATGAAAAAGCCGGCTTTGCTTTTTGAATTTACTATTCTGAGAAATTATTGGCTAAAAAATGTGTGTACTGTATGTATGGTAAAATGACGTTTATCTGGTGTATTTATATTACTGTTTCACTGTCCTATTACAATCTTTTCCCTGTTTCAAAACAATAATTTTTTAATGTTATTAGTTTTTAAATGTTCTTTACACTACTGACACCACATTCAGGTACGAATCGTTGGGCATTGGCTCTAGTTATTTGTTCAGAATTGATGGTGAGGCCATCGTTGATGCAACTAAGTATGGCAACCTGGCTCGCTTCATTAACCACTGTTGCACTGTAAGTTTGTTTTTTCTGTTTTATTTTAAAATTGACTCTTACCTATCTACTCTACAAACAATGGAATTAAAGCTGATTACATTTACCAATTTAATATCAAAGATATTAAAACCATTTTTAATTTACTTAGCCAAACTGCTGTGCCAAGATAGTGACAGTGGACTCCCAGAAGAAGATAGTGATATATTCGAGGAAAGACATTGAAGTGAACGAGGAGATCACATATGATTACAAGTTCCCACTGGAAGATAACAAGATACCATGCCTCTGTGGATCATCTGGTTGTCGGGGTACATTGAATTAATTTCAATCATTCGCACGTTCGTCCAAAACCGGATGGTTGAATAGATCGAACATAATTTTATAATTTATTTAATGTCTTTTTTGTTCGGTTCATTCTAACAACTGGTATCATCCTATTTATTAGTTTTGTTTTATTTTTTTGTCGTTCATGTATAAAATATTTTTTGGAAAAATTGTTTATTATTTACGTGAAGATTAAGCGATGAATTGATTAAAATTGAAAATTATGATTCACATTGGATGATTTCAGTTTACTCAAACTGCCCAAGTGTCATGGCATGTTCCTACGGTATGCTCACTTATCAGAACGCACATCATGCACCTATGTACATCTTTCTTTCATTTTTAAAACTTGTTTCAAACGTAATAGATGAATTTGAGATACTGTTAGTCAATTAAAATTTGTTAAAAAACTGTCTCAAATTTTATTTTCTGTTGAACATAATGTTTACTAGTATTAGAATTAAAAATTGAGTCACACAGGCTCTGTAACTTTTTTTTACGTTTTTCAAGAATGAATATGTTTATGTACATATCGTGAATATTTTATGATTAGATGCACAAGTGAATTTGCGTTTGTTTTAGCATGTGTGCATGACATTAAATTGTGATTTCTTGAAAGAATTATGATTGTGCTATTTGTTTCTTATGTGATTTATTTAAGCTACGTTAATTTTCATCCAAAATTTATATTTTTAACGTTTTGACAATGATTCTAATTGTATGATTTTATTAACAACCGATGTTGACAGTTGTAAAAATTGTTCATATTCCTAACTTTTATCAACCAAAGGCTAATGAAAGTTAAATATAAATTTTGTTTCATCACCTATACATACGTGTTACTTTTTGTTTGCGGTACTGACCACAGATATGACTAGAGATATTTCTTCCCATCTGTTTGATAAGTCCAAATTTGCACCACTTAATGCAAGTCGAAAATTATATAAATTCTATTGATTATCATTAATAATCAAGAAAATAAAACATGTGTGGTAAACACACAAATAAAAAGCATACATAAATTAAAAATGATAGTTTTAAAAAATTACTTGGAAAATCAATATTAAGATAACAAAGATTATAAATCTAGCCTCTTACAAAGTGCCAGCTTGAACTACAGTCTAGTCTCATAATCAGTGAATTGACCGAAACTTATCAACTAATCAAAAGAATGTACCTTGTAGCATTTACATTAAATATTTAAAAAGCAGATACAGAAACAAAATGGCGTTGCAAGCCTGCTATGAATAAAGTGCAAAAATGACAAGCATACATGTTATTTACAAATCAACGAAAAAACGTATTTGTATTATTTATTTGATTAGCCCACAGTTACCTCCTCACATTAAGTAGAATTTTCCGTACAATAATAATTATCATTTAATCGAAAAATTGGATGATAAAATTAATTGAAAGAAATGTCCCTTGGATCAGACTCGTGTTTCAAAACTTGGCACTGCATTTTTATCTGCAGCAAATGATCTGTTTCATTGTGATTAAAAAATTTTCTTTTATAAATCTCAAATGCATAGTGTACAATGAATAGTCTGATAAATACTTGTTCCCAGGAGGAAAGTGAATATTTATAGAATTATTATCAGACAATACCTTGAAGCTGATCCAGTTCCCTCTGCAGCTTGCAAGTTGTTTTGTCAGCTTCATTCCCGCAGTCCTCAGCCTGAAACATAATTTTGATGCACTTCATTGTAAAGTATATTTCGAATTATATGTCATATAAATGAAAAAATTAATATCTTATTAAACAACAATAAGAAAATCTAAAGAACAATAAATATAAATTTAAATAAATAATAAAGTAAATAATTAAACAAACAATAAAAATATTGTTTGTTTTATTTTTATTTATTTTTATTATTATGTTTTAAACATAAAAAAGTCATATAGAAATAAACATTTAATTGAACAAGTAAATAAAGGACCAACAGTTTTTAGCTGATTTCTCAAATCTTCAATTGTCTTGTCAAAGTTAGCTTCTTTGGTTGCAGCCTTCCAAATTATCAGATTTATAAAATGTTGATTAAACATTAGTTTTATAATATGTGTTTAGAAAATCAATAAATTTGAGTTGGTGAAAAATTATTTAAATCTTGTTAAACATTATATTAGTACATACCTTATCAACTCTTGCTTGCATAGATTTCAGTTTAGCAGACATGGTTTTTAAATCATCTTGCAAATTTTTAACATTTCTGAAAATTAATATTTATTTAGATAAAATATATTACTAAAGTACAATTCAAAACATAGTTTAGAAAAAGGATGACAAATTTAAAATTGTGAAAAAACATTTACAATTCAGCTGCTTCTGTCTTGGCAAGGTCTTTCTCTAAATCTGATTCTGATGCAGCCAGTTTACGAGAAACCTTAAAATGTATCAGAATGAAAAATCACAAATGTCATCATAAAAAGAGAAGCGTGAAGTTTCATACCTCATCATATTTTTTCTCAGACTCGAAAGCAATTTCACTAGTTTCTCTAAATATCTGCTCCAACTCAGCCAGCCTCTCTTCATCCACAACACGTTTCTGGTCTAATAATTTACGTTGCCTGAAATTTTTAAGAGAAACAAAAGTTAAAATATATGACTAACAAGAATTTTAAAATTTATAAAAAATAAGTAAAGCATAGCAATGAATTATATACAAAACAAACTTTTCATATAAACCAATGAATGAAAGCCTAAGAGCAAAAGACAAACTTGTCACATTCTTCAGCAACTTTGATGGTTTCTTCAAGTTTTTCACATAGGAGAACATATTTTGCTGCCTGCTGATCATATTCATTCTCCATCAAACTCACTTTGTGGTTCAATTCTCTTGCTTCACTCTCTAGCTATTAACCAGGAAATAAAACAAATCAATTTTCAACATAATATGTAATTCCATTAGAATAACAAAGCTATATATTTGTGCATAAAACAGATGAATATATATCATATGCTGACAATACCACATTACAATAATATTGAAATATATATTTTTCATTGACATTTTGAGAAAATCATAGAACTTGCAATTTCAATCATGATTTCACTTTTTAATGTTTTTTTTGCATTGATTTCATTTAACTAACTAGCAAAAACCAATAAAATTTCAACTTAATTTTTCATGCTTATCTCATAGAACATATAATGGTAGCAACATATTTACATAGACATACATTTGCCAATTATAACCAAAAAATACAACAAAGTATCCTTTTTTTGACTACCCCTTTATATTTTTTCAGACTTAACCTAATTTATATAACTTGTATGCCTAAATTAAATTTAAACATTAAACACTTTTAAATTAAATTAACTGTTAACATCTGACTCATGAAAGTCTCATTTCCATTTCCACACATTATCATCAACTTTTTTTTATTGTGTCATCTATCAGTTAACAACTGAACTGTGTTTCCTTAATTCTTCTTCAATTTTTAATTAAATTAAAAAAAGCTACATTAGATAAGTGAACACAATTTGAAAGTGATTTGATTTTGATAGGATGAGTGAATCACAAAACAAAAATGCAGACTGCTTTGGTTTTGGCTTTTTCGATTTCCAGTTCTTTTTCAGAGGCTTCGAACAAAGTCTTGTATTTGCTTAGTTCTTCCGAAACTTCTTGCATGCGAACTTTCAATGCATTTATCGAAATCGCGCCGTCGCCAGGAGCCGCCATCTTAATTCTGAATTAAATTAATACGACGGGCCACCAAAATGTAATGAATTGCTAGGACTAATTCCACAGCTCGCATAGACGCTTTTTTCTATTTTGATTACTGACTGGACTGGACAATGTTTAATAATTATGGAATGCTACAAATTGTTTCATAAAAATTCTTTCAATATTTAAATGTACATATACATATATATACATATACATATATATACATATATATATATATATATATATATATATATATATATATATATATATATATATATATATATATGATTACCTTTATGTATATAATTCCAAATATATGATTACCCTAATTTGTAGTCATATCTTCGTCAAAGTTAACAAAAGAGTAAATATTTGGCTTTACGCATTCTTTTCTTTAGGCTCAAAAAAGCGCTGAAAATTTAAACCTAACTAATAACTTAAAAGGCTTAATTGCTGATTAACATTAAACTAAAAGATTTTATTCAAGCTTTGAAATTGAAGTTGAGAAAAATAGTTAGCAAAACTCTGTATTCGTTTTTCTTTTGTTGTTCTTAATATTACCCCTTTTAACCCGTTGCGGTTATAGACAAAATTACCAGTGGGTCACAAATTTTCCAACATTGACCGGGTGGAGTAAATTTTTGAGAATATTACAATATGTTTTAATGTTGACCGGGACCGGTTGGAGCCAAAATTTTGACTGGGGGACAATGTTCTTAGCTGACAACTTTTTTTGCTTATCACTTTTTTTTCTAAAAAAGCTCTTTTTTGGTTAAAAAACAATGAGTTTTACTGATTTTCAATACAAAAACTTCTCACAAAAAAAAGGTGCCTTCTCTTGAAACACATTCTTACTTTTTGCGTACCTCAATCAATCAATCATTCAAATTAGTTAAAAATTTTTACAATTTGCACATTAATTATTAATATAGAAGTCCCAATCTAAATTATTTTCCGAGTGTTTTTCAAATAGATTAGATAGTTTATTTAATATTATTACCATTAAAAAATGTTTAAATTCTAATTTAACTCAATACCTAACTTTTTTGTTTATTACCAATTAATAAACAGCCATCTGGTCATTCATCCAATTAGTTTACATATTGATTATGTCATTCGGGCACCAAATTGAAAAATTTTCGGATTTTTATGTTTAATATTCATAGTGAGATCTGCCATTAATTAAGGATGAGTCTTTCTTTGGAAGATTTCAAACAAGAGTTTGCAGAATGGGATTTGGTTTTTCCAGTAAATCTGTATGATAAAAGTAAAATATCATCTACCTCCAATTTTGAATTTTTTTCTATCCTATCATTATGAAATTACTTACAAATAAGTCTTCAATCGTTAAATTTATTGAATAAATTAATATTAAAATTAAATCATTTATATTACATATTATTATTTAAAATTTGATGTATTGTAGGGAATTCAGGTTTTAATTATGGTTATCGTTATTGATTGGTTAACTTAATTAACATAAATGACAGTAATACAGATTATAAAATATATTAATTATATTAATTATATTACTGTTATATATATATTTAATTATAATATGATATACTATTACTATACATAATGTTAAGATGATGATTGTGATAGTTTTGGAACAGGAAGGATGTCATCAGTTTATTAGAATTTTTAGAGAATTGAATTTATAAATTATAAATTGAATTAATTATTTTTTAAAGTGAACAAACAATGATTTATAATAATGGTAGTGATAGTAATGCCATTACCGTAGTAATCATAATGTTAACGGGCGTAGTGGCAATCATCACAATTATAATATATGCTTTTTTTATATTTAAAAAATATCTCATACTTTTCTTTTTTTAGTTTTTTCAGTAGAGTAAACTTTGAAAAATGTTTCACAACAAACAGTCACAGTAAAAGTATACGTAATTTGTTAATACATTCAAGTAAATCAACACGCCACACATAGCAAGTGGTAGATAGGCTCTGTTTTGCATTAGAACCTGGTCTCCATCATAGCAACAGTGCCAGGAGGTGCCTTAACTAACCTTCTCTACCATTACATATGGTTTTCTTGCCTGCTAATACAGTATAAAACAATAATCTTGGTAAAATTTTTGATTAAAAAACAATAGTACTCATTAATGAAAGATGCTTAGAATTAAAATTTAACGTTTTTCTACTATTTCTGTAGTAGTCCTAATTATATTAATATTAATTAGTTTGGCTAAGGTTTGAGTTCATTATCCGCAACTGGACATGGACTTACATTGTAGTGAAAATGTTCATTGTACTTAGATATTAAAGCTAAAAATAAATTTTTCTAATTTTTCAAATTTGTTTGTTTGCCAGTAAAAGAAGTTTGTGAGAAATATGATTTGAGTGCCGAAGACTTTGTCAGTTCATGGCAGGCTCACAAGCAGAATCATAAAATTAAGGTCAATCTGAATTTGGAGCATCTTGACTTCTTTGCTAGGGAGGTAATTAGTATATAAATCATAGATTTCTTTTTACGTAACAATCTTTTTTAATTTGACTAAAATAAGTTTTTGAGAGTTCAAGATCTTGTTGAGTTGAAATGTTTCCTGTTGAAAATAATTTCAAAATTATTTACTTACAATTTCAATAACTTATTATTGAAATTGTTTCATTAGATTATTTATAAAGAACTTTTCATTGATTTACAAATTTTAAATGGAAATTTATTAATTATTTAAAGGAATTTGAAAAAAAATTTGTGAAAAAATCTTCAAAAGTCAGATCCATTCCCAAGACTCCTATAGTGTTGGCTTAAAATTTCATTCAAATGAATTTTCACTTATCACCAATGCATTACTGTTTTGAAAGATCTTACTTTTTGAAAATTTGAATTTTTTTTCTAATCTGACCATTTTTTATCCACCATGCACAGAAATAATCATGAAGCCAACACGCCTGCCTCGTCTAAAGTAATCAACCAATCATACTCCTTCATTCATTCGTTTTATTATTACCTCTAATTAATTACCAGTAGTTTGTATTGAATAGTTCAATTATTTTATTGAAGCGTAATCATGAACAAACTTTTTTTTAAAAGAAACGACCGATAGATATTACCCCAGAAATGGCCAACAAGAAGATCATTTTGTCAGAAGAGGATCAATTCGTTGGCACTCCCAGCAGGTGAAAATAATGGCAGCCTGATAACTTTTGTTTGATCATTTACATAATACTTTTATTATTATAATGATTCAAAATGTGGGTTTGTTAGAGCTCCATCCTCATTGAATGGCATGACACCGTCTGCCAAGTATTCCAGTCGCAAGAACAAGGGTGAAGTTGTGGCATCAAATTGCGAAAATTCATTAAACGATCGTCGCCTGTGGAGAAGACAGGATGTGAATCGGTTGGTCACTGTGCTCGATTATGAAGAAGCCAGAGAGATGAAGCCCCATTGCAAGTACATGTTCCACAGGGCTTCTGAAAAATATTACAGTTAATTGTTTTCATATGTTTCATTTTAAAATTTAAAAGTTTCTGTATCAAATGTTTTAGTTTGTTTTACATGTTTCTTGATTATATCTGAATACAAATAATTTTTGTGGAATATCGTAATGGTAGACCACCATGATTGTATGGTCATATGGTCAACGTAGTTGAACATTTGAATGGCCATCACAGTTAAAAGGTTAAATGATTAACTTTACTTAACTATCAACAAATACAATCATCACAACTGATCAGTTATTCGTGAACATATGTTGACATAAATAACATCATAATCATTCGTAGTACATTGCTCGTTGCTTTCTTATTAATGGATGATTCGATTGTATTCAATTATTTGGATGATGATCCACATGGCATTAGCCTAATTTATGGTCATTAATGACTCAACAGCACTGAACTTTATGATATCGGACATGCAGCAGAGGCTCCTGTCAACAGGAGTTGTTGAAGAGTTCACTTCTATTGGTAATGTCTTTCAGGTTGTTTCTCTTCCAAATTATTGCATATTTGTGTTTTTTGATGATTTACAAAGTAATTGATGTCTTTTATTTTAGCAAATGCAAATGTGTTTCATGTTATATCCAACTTATGTTCTCTAATTTGTCATTCAATTAGGATCCTCAAATTGTGATTGGCCGAGTGAACTTTGATGTGATGGATAAGCAATTGTCATTGGAGGAGGAGAACACGGGTCTTACTGTTCCCCTCTCACTCAACTCACTCGCTGATTATTTCATTTTTACGGGACAGGTATTTAAAAACAATATTTTTTCTAAATCCGTAGAAATGCGAAATGAATAATAGAAAATAAATTCAACGTCGGAAAATCATGATTAATATAAGCCACAAAATCTTTTGTTGAGTTTCATTTTCTGAAACTGAGCAGTTTCCATCTTCTGGCCTTTTCAATGTCTTAGCATAACAGCAACAGTGTTTACTCTGAACTTAAAATGTCTAACAATTTGTTCATCTTATTGTAATCTAAACTAATCACATTCCTTGACTAGCCGAACTATTTAAGTATACAATTAAATTGAGTTATTACATTGTTATATTAATGTGTGACTGATATGTCTGCAGTGACGTCTTTGTAATTAATTTGCATAATGTTTTGCAGGTAGCAGCATTTGAATGCACCAACCCAACTGGCAAATGTCTGAATGCACTGAGATTCATTGAAGTTTGTTACGTTTATAGTTTCTTTTTTTTCACAGCTCTATCTATACATCTTTATTTCAATTCACTAATGCAATTGAAACAAACGCTTTTTTCAGCCTGTTTACCCCCCACAACCGCCTCTCAAGGACTTCAAAGGTGAGTTTTTCCCATTCAGTGTCTTTACTATTTCTTAACCTCAAAACTCACTCATATTTCTCTCCTTCCAGATCTCTCCGTTCTGGTAGCATGTGGACCGTTCAGCACACAGGACAGCACGATGTATGAACCATTGAACGACTTGATCACCCAGATTGAACAGAACACACCTGACCTCTGCATTCTGGTCCGAACATTATCTTAAACATTCTCTTCTGACGTTACCAAACATACCCTGATATTTAATTTTTTACAAATTTTTTAACTTTATAACTTAATTTCGAATCTTAGTTGTAATAACCGTTTATTATGGCTTTTTAATGTGTTCATATAATTATCGACTGATTGTAGGTGATTTAGTGTTACAATTGTTATTTCATATCACTGAACTCTTCATATTAACAGCTCGGTCCATTCATTGACACAGAGTTTGCTGAATTGCAAGTAAGTGCATCCATTCTTTCAAACGTTCATTTAAATAAAGTAATTAGTTAATAATTAATAAATTAATTAATTAAATAATTAATGATCATTTCAAGTAAAAATGATTAGTCTGAATGTGTTTACTTAGTTTTTTACAATTTTAAAAAATGTTATTAAAGACTTAGTTTAATAAATTAATTCCGTTTATATTTTTTGGATGGAGCAGCATATTATGATGTGAAGAATTCAAAGTTTTTGTGTCTGCATTTGGTTTTTGTAGTTTTTCAAAAGTTATCACATTATTAACAGTTGATGTGTTTGTTGCAAACTAGCAAGATAGCCAACGGATTAATGAAGTATTAATATATTTGTTGTAAATTTTCAAAATATTCAACAGATTAATGAAGATCTTGGCTCTCTGCAGCAGAATTGTTTCAATAAATTGAAAGAAATGGCGGCAAGGTTAATTACTTGCAGTCGTTCATCTTTACAATGAATGAATTCTCGCGAAATTTTATGAATCAAAATAAAAGCTTTGTGATTTTTAAAATATTACATTCTAATAAAAGGATGATTTTGTTTTTTTGAATGCACCAGTTTACACTGCCATGTCGTGATCATTCCATCGCAGAGAGATTTCCTTCATGAATTTGTTTACCCGCAACCGCCTTTCAAATTGTCCTCGAGCAGTGTGAGTGCTACGTTTAAGTATAAATCTTTCCACATTAGTGATATCTGAAGGTTTAAAAACCAAATCGGATTTCGTTTTGATTGGAATGGCTGCTCGTGTCATATAAAATTATATGACTCAACAATAAGTCTATTGGTCAGCTATATTTATGCAACCATTGAACAGTTTGTATCGTACATGTCCGATCCATGCACCCTCGATGTTGATGGGCTGGTCATTGGGGTGACGTCAACGGATGTTCTCATGCACATGAGCAAGGATGTCATATCAAAGTCTTTATTCTCCCTCATTATTTACATTTCTTAATTGTTTTTTAGCAATGTTTGACATTAAAAAAATGTCATTGTTTTTTTTTCCTTTCAAATCCCATTTTTTGTTGAATCAGGTCACAGAAAAATGTTGACAGATTTACAAAACTTGTTCAAACATTTCTAGGCCAACACAAGTTGGTACAAATAAATTTATTTCAATAAATACTATATATTATTACTGAAAATATTTTTCAAATTATTTTGGATTGGTTCTGGCAGTTATTGTGACAGGTCAGACCATTTAGTTTTTTCACCAAACATTAACATGCAGCTTCTATCCTGTCAACCCACCATCCAACGAAGTCAATGTTGACCTTGAACTCTTCGATGTGTACGCCAAATTAACTGTTACACCGCATTTGCTCATTCTTCCGTCTGAATTGAAATGTTTCGTCAAGGTATTCCTGTTTTTATCTTGCTTGTTTTGTGTGTTTCGATTCCGCTTTGTTTTTTATAGTGGAAACTTGAGACGCACTGGGTTAATTGTTTTTTTTTTGTTATATATGGATGAATTTGCTCTTGAGTACAGGCTTTATGTTTCCAAATTTTCATTACACATTCAATAGCTTTGGCACTAATTTGTATGAACAGACAGTCAACTGCTGTACTTGCGTGAATCCAGGGAAGCTCTCAAAGAAGGAAGCTGGCGGAACATACGCCCACATTAAAATACGTGCCAACGCTCCGGCAGTGAATGTTGGTGAAAATTCCCCTGGTAACATTGAGAACAATGTGACCTGTGAAGTGAAAGTTGTGAAAATATGAGGAGAATGAAGATAGGACAAATAGTTGAATACTGTACTTCATTAGTTTATTGCATAAAATCGATATCGCATCTCCCAAGACACTTCTTGTGTCTAAATGTCATAATGTTCTGTATTTCAGTTCCGTTTTTCATTATTCGGTTGAATGCCATCATCGTCATCATGTTTAGTTGTCATCGCCAATGAACAATAAACAAATAAAGGGCGTTGCTTATTTAGTTAATTATCTCGTCTTTTCAGCTGTCCTCATCTATTAAAACTACCGGTTCTTCAAATTTTTGGTCGTGTTTATCGTATTTCTTAACGCGTTATAGTAACTGACTTATGACTCTTTTGAGATGCATATTTAAGTTATTAAGTTAGGTTTATGTAAATAGACATGGAAATTCAATCGATCAAATAGTTTATTAAGCGCCATTTCCGCGATGTTCAACAGCGCTCCTCAATGAATTCAACTAACAGATAGATGGGTGTTGAGATCCGCTCTAAACTTCATAAGTGAAGGTGAAGTAAAAGGACGTTTATTATTTAAACTTATGCGTTAATACATGTGGTATAATCTACTATTTAAGTTATTAAGTTAGGTTTATGTAAATAGACATGGAAATTCAATCGATCAAATAGTTTATTAAGCGCCATTTCCGCGATGTTCAACAGCGCTCCTCAATGAATTCAACTAACAGATAGATGGGTGTTGAGATCCGCTCTAAACTTCATAAGTGAAGGTGAAGTAAAAGGACGTTTATTATTTAAACTTATGCGTTAATACATGTGGTATAATCTACTAGATTTGTTTGCTCCTTATTTTTCGATTGCTCGAGCCGTGTTTCAGTTCAAGGCGGTAGTGGGCCGCCACACGCTGTTGGAGATCAAACATAAACATCCAATTTTTACTTTGCCATTGTGCACGCACGCTTGATAAACCAGTCATACATAAGTAGGTAAAAAAATTGAAGGAATAGTTTAATGGCTGATGGGTTTGGATATCCAAATTTAACTCCTTCAGTTTTTTTTCACCGTTTCTTTCCTCCAGACGTTAGTGCCAATTTTATTGGAATGCAACGGATAAATTTTCAATTCATGTCTCACCCGCCTTCGCTCGATTACCTTTCGTTAATATAAAGGGTATAATCATGCGCGTATAAATTAAATAATTTTTTTTAGAAACTTTGAAATAATTTAATTTTTAAGGCATCATTCAAAGTATATTAAAATCATGTAGAAATATCAAAAACTTTTATATTAAAATAATTAATATGGATCATAATTGTCATTAATTGTCACGTGTAAAATGGCGAAAAATGCCTGAATCAAAAATTTCAAAGGCAGAAGCGAAAAACCTCAAAAATTGAAATACAGTGGTTATGATTTTTGTGGTGCAAGATTAAAAAAATATTGAAAACTATGTTTTTAAATAAAATTAATTAAATGTTGCGTTCATTTCATAAACACAGTAATATGTTTATAAAAAATAAAAGTTATTAATTAAATAATATATATGTATATATATATAGTTTATGAAAATGTTAGCACATTGTTTGTGATATTTCAGAAATGATACATCCGATAAGAAAGATGTTTAGGCCTACTCCAGTTATTTGCATCGATACGTAATGTGACGTATGGTACTTTATTTTTTGAAAACTTTTGAAAATACGAAATGTTTTTTGCGTCCTACTTACAAGTTTCAACGAGCAAAAAAAACTTAATTCAGAAAAACATTACTGCCATTTGAGTTGCTTTTTTACGTTTCAAAGTTTATAATAGCTGCCGGCGATGTAGAATTCACTTTAGTGAAGTAAAAATTTCAAGATATGTTCTTATTGCTTAAGTTGTGCTCAAATACAAAGAAACATTGGATATTAATACCAAAAATTGTTGCATTGTTACGCATCAGATTCTTGTTCATTAATTTGAAATTTACTTATTTTATTTTTAAGCTCGTCAAAATTAATCGTATGCCTCTTGTTTGAACCTGAAACCTCGCTTTGGTCTTCGCTTGTTTCTAGAATGGTATTTATGCTTTTCCTATTAATTATTGAAGGATCGTTAATGTAAAAGTTACTGGAATTGCTTTGGGAAATTTGTTGTCCATGTTTATGTTCTGTGTTACTGGCTGGTTTGGGAATGGGACTGGATATCATTTCAGCCTTTTCTGCATTATTAGCTGCTAATTTGGCCTCATGGTTAAATGGATTGTGAAATATTTTGTCCTCGTCAACACTTTGATTCATGTTATAAGCCGGTTTTCGAGCGAGTCGTTTTTTAGAAATCATTTTTGTTTCATTGGCGGATGTGTTTTTAGAAACATTATGAGCGCTACCATCAAAGGAGAGCGACAAAATACTATTAGATAAGTCTTTTAATGAAATTAACGATCGCGTTTTGAAATTATTTTCAGACTTGCGGGGCTTGGGCACTTTTTCAGTCTTATTTTCTTTTGGGATTGTTTCAGAGTCTGTTGTGGTTGAGGATAAATTATTTAATGGTAAATTAGCGTAAATTCCGGTGTTATCAGGCGTCAAATAATTTGAAAAATTTTGGTTCTCTGAGTTTTGAGAAGATATGGAAGTATTTTCAGTGTTGTCGGCGATTGGATCGATTTGTGACGAATTTGATGAGTTATTTTTTTGATTATTTGTAGAAAACAAAGATAAGATGTTTTTCGACATACGATTTCGTTTCTTTTGGTTGTTTGTTTGCGGTAGGTCATGGGAGGACAACGTGGAAGGAGGCTGGGGAGCTTGATTTCTAGTTCTGGCTATTTGTGATTCCTTTCTTCTAAACCTCTTGGATTTGTTTGTTTTTGTTTTTTCAAAATCATCTTTGCCATCTCTCTTAGCAGAAGTTAAATGTGATGGATTAAACTGTGGAAACTTTTTCGCCAAAAATTGACTTAACCTTTTATAACCGTAATGCCTGCTGAACAGTTTATCTTTCTTTCTGATAGATTTATCCTTTGTTTGGTCTTCTTCTTCTGTCTGGAATTCGTCTATACATTCGTAAGTCTCTTCACCTATATCTAAAAACAATGTTCACAATATATTTAAAATTAAATATTGAATTTTTTATATGAAGATTATAAAAATTACTTTGAAATTCAACGTTAAACTCGCAAGAATGGTTTCCAGATTTCACCTGTAAAAATTGTTTTAAATTGAGTGTTCACCTCGTAATTGAAGAAAATGCTCATATCTAACTTGAACATAGCTTCCGGGAAAAAATCCTTCTTTTGAGCGAGTGTACCCCCTCCACCAGCCATTCTCTAACGTCTCCGTCACAATAATGGATTCTCCCTCATGTAAGGATATGTCGTCATCGTACACAGCTTTGTAATCGTGTTTCACTGAACATTCTTTGTGTGGTTTTAAAAATACAATGAATGTTATACTTTCCCGATGAAAAAAGTTAAAAATTTGAAACTTGTTCATTCTTTTTACTTTATTTTCCATATTTGATAAAACATGTGACGCGCAGTATGTCTGAATAGTTTCAAAAATTATCGCGCAACTTGGAATAGTTTCGATTTACAAGGTTAGTTTTTCTATGTTGGTTCAATTTCAAAATGCATGGCATCTCATCTTCATTTCCTCATTTGTATGCTAATTATTTTAATTACAATCTTTTCAAATCGTATCGAGACGACTTGGCCGCGTTGAAATGTTAATCTAATTAGATTCGGAAAATATATTTACTAAGAATCTAATTTGAATCTTTTTCAAATATAAAAATTATGAAACTAACCAATTCATTTACTAATGTTTGCATACATTATATCAACGCTTGCAAAACGGAGTTAAATGTATTTTTATTTAGAATTTTGCTTACCAAATCCTATTTCGTCATCTGCATCTTCCTCATCGTCGTCGTCGTCGAAATCATCATCATCGTCGTCGTGGTCATCCGGTTGGAGTGTGTCCATAATTTCAGAGTTGTTGTTGTCGTTTTTGACGAGAGGTTTTTCCAACGAAAGTTGTGAGGACTTCTTTGAGATGGTCGCAAATGATGTAGCACTGTTGTGGACACTGGATGAATGTGCGGCAGATGCCTCAAACATCAGGGTGTCTCCAGCTTGCCTGGCCTTACAAGATCGAAGGAGTATTAAAAGTGAATAAAAATAATGTCCCTAAGATTCCAATTAACAGTATTCATATAAATGTTAACGTTTTCAGAAGTGGTGTTTTGAATAATAATATGAACATTTTGTCTGTAATGTCTAAGCAGGCGAACAACTGCTCAATAAATTAAAGTTGCGACGAAGACGTAATTAGATGAATGTGACAACAAGCAGATAAGCGCGCGTATGTTCTTGCATTTAAATGAATACTAAATGCATCTACGCATTTGCGTAAACCCGCAAATGAGCGGATCTTTAGTCATTGTTAATCATTGCGATGCGTTTTTTGTTATTACAATAATGTGTTTGTTACTATAATAACAATAACCATACAGGAGTAAAATGATGCAAATAACTGACCCCTTCTCTGACTTGAGATCTGCGGAACCAGCCTTCTTCACCTGTCTCTTTTTTCTGACCCAGCATCCATTCATCGTCCCCCTCGTGTAACAAGTAAATGACGTCATTAATGGAAAGCGCAAGTTCCGTTTCTTTGCTAGGGTTATAGGGGTACATGACCACGTACGCTTTTCTTTGGTCTGTTTGGTTCATGCAAACGTTGAATAAATATTTAATCCATTAGCCTCTTGTCATTATTACAAGATTTTGACGTGTTTAAGAATGGAAGATCAACTAAAAAAAGATTCGATTATTAAACATTTATAACAACCAGTAACACGTTGAAGGAATCAGTCATAATCAGGCAAATCTTACTAGAAAAAAATCATCAATCGAATAAAAATAAAAAACAGACACACTCGCACACGCGCTCACAAACATGTGCCCATTGAAGCAGACACACAAGATAATCTTGTTAATAATACAAACTTGTACAAACTAATACAAACTTCTTACAGTTTGTTAACTTTACAATTGTTCTTAACTGATTTTATTTTATCTGACCGACTTATTCACCGACTATGCTTACAAATCGCAATTGAGTGCAGGACGCCGCGTCAGCAGGCAAGCAAATCAGCACAAACTGAAAAAAACGATTATCTGATTATTAAAATGAACATTAACTTGCATGTTCATTACTTTTTCAAAAATCAAAAATATTCAAAAATTTCTTCGTTCATTCATTTATTCATCAACAAACACTTCAATAGTTTTATTCAACTTACCTTTCAATTTAAATCATTTGCATACCCAATTTCTAAATTGTTACATTGTTCAACATTTCAAGTATCCAGTACAAGTATACTATACACATTATTTATGTTTGTGCTTGTTGGTTGTATATGCGTGCGTGTTGTGTGTGTGTATGTGTGTGTATGTGTGTGTGTGTATGTGTGTGTGTGTGGAATTAGCCATCTATCCATCCAATCATATTAGGTGGGTAGGTGGGGCGCATTGTATCAAGGAACTCTTCTTGTTGCAAGTGAATCTTTACCAATTAGAGATGCAGCATGACCAGATTGACCAGTGCACTTCCAGGCATATATTTACTTAAAGACAACCATTTGTATGCACAGCACATATGCATAGGTTTATATTAAGCAGCTCATAAATAGTTCTCAAATGTGTGTGAGTCTGTGTGTGTGTGGTGTGTGTGTGTTTGTTCATTTGTATGTGGACCCTTCAAACTTGCCAAAAACAACACACAAAATGAACAAAATTGGCCTAAATGCACAACAGGCCGGACAAAATATTTACGAATAAGTATGTTTACGTCACAGCAAGTTGCATTAATATTGATTAAGGAGGACATAATCTTGAATAAACCGCACTTCAAAATAATAATTTTATTAATAGTTGATGAACGTATCAAATAGTACACTGTGTTCAAAAGATAAGCTGAAAGATAAAAGAAGCAATTAAAAGATAATCGAAAAAAAGGAATCAAAGAGGAAATGAGCGAAGAAACAAACAAACGAAAAGTGAACAAACATTAAAACATACACTTTTTTTCAATATATTCTGTTAGTTTATTCATATTGAGCTGATTTTGTTAAATAGCCAGCAGAAGGTGCTCACTCTTCGTAAGCCGCCATCTGAATTCGTCACCTCCTACTTATCCCGTCTCAAAGGCACTAACGAATTTTTTTCAATTTCCTCGCCAAGCCATTCAAGTCGACTCAAAAAGACTTCTAATAAACGATAGACATTGATTCGAATTAAGAGCTAGAAAATCAAAAATCAAAAAAATTTTTTTGAATGAAAATGAAAATTGATGGTTAGTTAAGAAATAAAAAAGTGTTGAATTACTTACCACCTTCATTTGAAGTTTTAGTATTTTGTTTATCGTGGCTGATGTTTCTGTTGTTGTCAATGTTCTTGTGGTTGTCCTTTCCATCGTCCTTGTCAATCCCATCCCTGCTTCTCCCACCACTGACATCACCCTCCCATGCATCGCAGACACCGTAGTTGCAGTCTCCTCCACCTGACTCGTGAACGCTGACTCCTTCACAACGTGCTGATCTGTCGTCGCAATTTTCACGAGCCATCAGCAGAATGACGTCATCGACATTATTTGATTGGCCCTTCGTAGACGGGACCATGCCATCGACGCGTGTCCTGACGTGGCTGCCACTTGTTAATTTGTTGCTCGTCACATTCCTACACTCGTCCACACTGCTTGCCTTCAAATCATTTCTACTATGAATACTAGTGTTGGCCGTTTTTTTATTCGATGAAATGTCATTATGACTTTTCAAGTTATTTTCGTTAACGTTGTTTTTGTTGTTTTTGCTGTAGTTATTATTATTATTATTATTGTTGTTGTTGCTGTCATTCATGATGACGTCATTACTTATTGGTTTATCATCATTGTTGTTGCTGAGATGGTAGGAAAAGTTGTTGGTATCGACTTTCTCGTTGTTGTTTGTGATATATTGAGGTGAGATTTTCTTGAACTTATTGTTGAAGGTGAGAATGGAGTCTACGTTGTCGTCATTCCCATTGCTGGTGATTTCGTTGGAGGTAACTCGAATTAGTCTGCGCGGTTTTTTAAGCGGAGATGTTGCTGCGTGAACGTGATGAGAAACATCATCTCGATTGCTCGGCTCGGTCTGAGATGTTTCAACAGATGCTGACAACGGTGTGAGAGGTGACGACAAAATTGGCTTCGGTGTCAATATCTTCGGTTTTGCAGACGATGAAGAAATTGTTTTAGTTTCTTGTGTTGTTGACATTTTAATTGACGTTGTCGTTGAAGTTGTTGAGCTTGTTGTGGTTGATGACGACGATTTAAACTTCCTGACTGGCTTAGTAGCAGATGTAGATGCTTTGGAGCGAATGTTTCCATCATCCAATTGAGATGCCGTCGAAGAAGTTGATGGTGGCAACTGCCTGGAAGGCGAGGTTGATGAGGATTCTGCAGCTTTCGACAGCCAAGATGCTGAAGAAAATGACGAATCTGTGCACAAACTTGATGAGGATTTGAATGCGACGTCGACTTTTTGAGGCTTTTTTGTTAGTGGGAGTGGTTTGTTGCTGTAAACATTAACCGAAAGTTTTTGATGAATTTTAATATTATTTTTTTGGTTGCTAAATTTTTCAACGTCGCCATTAATACTAGTATTGTAGTTTTTTGGCGGTTTTTTTGGTAAAATTGTTGGTGGTGTTTTAGAATGTCTCTGCTCATTTTTTGCTGTAAAATAAAAATTGAAACAAATTTGTGTACAACATTTCAATGCTTTTTTTCAATTTGTGACATAATAACAACAAAATCTTCAAGTAGAAGTAAATAATGTGAAATAATTGAATTTGAGCCAACCGGATATCGGTAGTCGGGCGCCTGTCGCATCATTTATGTTCATACCGACGTGCTGGCTAAAGTTCAAAAGATAAACTTCTCTGCTGCTTTTCCCTGCTTGGTGTTTGCTTGATTCGTCGTAATAAATGTCTGTTGATGCTGTTGTTGGCTGTCGTTGTTGATGTTTTTGTTGATTAATTTGCAATGGTTTCTTACCAGGCGGTTTGAAATGGGTTTGTTCTGTAAATAAACGGTGCATGTGTTGAAGGCGATCAATATAATCGATCATCTGCTAATTTTTGTTTAATAGTTTTTTAAAGATCTTTTTTATCATGGTAAAAGTTTATGAATTATTTGAAATAACTAAATTAATACGATATTCTTTAAAAACAACTCATCTAGAATTGTAAAAACATTGGGATTTTAATCAAAAACTTTCTTCATTTCATCAAAAACTAACAGCTTAAATGAACTAAAATAATTCAATTTAGTTTAAAATGCCAGCTGAAATAAACAACAAGTTGCTGTTCTTCTACCACGAAAATTAATCTTTCTTGAACGAGTTATTAATTTTGTAACGGAATGACTTTTAAGGAAAGAAAATGCAAACTCGAGGT